GATACACAACACTTCAGTTTTAAACGCCACTGCATCTGAGACAGTCAGACAGTGGGTGGACTGGTATTAGCAGATGGACCACATATTCAATTCTATGTTACTTTGTATGTGATATTCAATACAGTGTAATTCCCACCATGTGTGGATATAATACAGCATCATGTGTAATCATATTCAAACCTGCATATGTCAGACATGCATATTGCATGTGGGATAATTTGTCTAGTTTTTGCAGGTGTTGATGATCTAATTTGACCAGAGAAGTTATTCATAGGTCTGCCTTCTCATGACCCTCGATCCTGTTCAGATTTTCACATATCTTTATTTGTCACAAGGAAACTTTTCACTCTATTTTAAACAATCCTTCTACGTGGTGATAATTAACAGGAGATGCCAGTTTCAGGCTGATAAGTAAAGTACACAGATCTGAGAATAAGTGCCAGGAAGAGTTTGTTTCTCAGATATAAAACTGCAGTATAATTTTCTAACATATTTCTGTTATTTGGTCGAACACACTGTACACAGTCAGGAGAAACTGCTGTGTAATAATTTGGATGTTTGGATTCAGCTTTTATATTTCCCATTATAATAAACACAGTAGTACACTTTACCATCAGACATCCTATAAAAGGTGGGGCGATGGGATGTAAGTGTGCTTATTGAAACACTGGTTTAATCTTTACAACAACCAATGAATTTACCAGGAGACCTCTGCCCTCAAACAAGGCATTAAGCAGTTATTTTTTTCTTAATGTTTTATGCTCTGCAAAAGAAGAGAAGTTTCAATTTATCAGTGTTCACTTAACACTCAACTACTAACCCCTCTTTTACCTCTTTTAAATGAATGAGAGACTCCTCCTGATTGCTGTCTGCACTTTGTGTTTAGTGCTAATTAGAAATTATTAACATGCTAACATGCTAAATTAAAATGGTGAACATGGTCAGCATTATACTTGTGAAACATTAGCCTCACTGTTAGCATGTTAGTATGCTGACTTAAAGGGAAAGTTCATCACAAAATCAATAATTCATATTTTGTCTCTTCCCTTTAGGGCTATTTATCCATCTAGACTGTTTTGCCAATATCTGCCTTGAATAATGGAACTAGATGGCACTAAACAAACTAAAAAAAAATACATAAAAAAAACATCCCGAAAAAAAAACCTGCCAACCGTATCACCACGCATGAGTGGCATCTACTCATGGATGAGAGGATTTGAACATTAGCAAACTGTAACATTTGCTAGCTCACTGAGCTAGCTGTAACTAAGTACAGCTTCACAGAGCTGCTAGCATGGCTCTAGACTCTTAGTCCTGTTTTAACCACGACCACAATTTTTCTTTTAACCTTAACTGAGTAGTTTTAGCCATACAGGAAATAATTCATCTGGGTCTTTGCAGAACTGTCCAGTATCATCGTCCAGTATCTCCACTGTCAGCCTTTTGGCAACAGTGGGAGGCTGGCTGCTCTCTTGTCCTTTTATGGAAGGAGCTGTGTCAAAGTATGAAAAACATTTAAGACTTTAAAACTGGAGCTAACTGGTGTCACACATACTGGACCCCAGTGCATGGTAAACAATTAATTACATCATTGCAAACCTACAATCTGCTGCACAACAGCACACAGCAAGGGTCGTAATAAGCATATAGTGGCCTTTGAAAACTGCGTGAAAGCAGGTCCTGGAGTCAATGAAAAGCAGATGTGCACTGTAGCTCCCAAATATTTACCTTAGAAAAGACTGGCATTCATTTGTGCACATCTGACCCAAAGATGTTGTTATTGTGTCATTTTTAGAGACTTATTCACCACTGGATTGCATTCAAATAAATGAAATGTTTTAGTTCACTTGGGACTTGCACTCATACAAGTTCATATGCTTCCTGAATTCCTGAAACATTTTTAATCATGGTCAGTGGCTCAAAGGATGTTTCTTTTGCTAAATCTGCAGCATCTGAATGCAAGTGATGTACAAGCAGTTCAGATCTTGGTTGATTTGTACAAAGACATTGTGTGGACTGACCTTCAATCAGAGGCCTGGCTGCCTCCACTGTATGGTCTTTGGCACAGTGCAGTCTGTATGTCACAGTCAGATCAAAGTGTTGTGAATGAAGCCCTACATTCTCTCAGAACCAACAGCACTGCTCTAAATAGACATTTTTAAATAGACAATAGTGTCTATAAATACCTCTGCTCCATTTTGACTTTTGTGGAACTCCTCATGCAGTCACTCACGCTATTCCTGAACATGTGCTGTTATTTATTTTTAGATGCTTTGAGGATGATCTCTCACATGGGATCAGATTCTCGGGCACACAGTGATTAAATGGATTTCTCTCCTCACTAAAGCCAACAAATAGTATCTATTAGGTTGATTAATGTCCAGAAAAGTGCACAATGTATGGTGGTATTGTATATATTATACAGTATAATCATTATGTCTGTATTGTTTAACCACACTACGTCTCAGTTCTTTGAAATATAAATGCAGAATGCCACAGTTTACTTAATATGTCCATGTTTATAATGTGCTTTCATCATAGGTTACTTTATGTACAGTTAGGATCAGTTTCTGTGAAGGTGTTTTGTCAAACATTTACCCTGAATTCACATTGCTAATGATAGATTTATCAGCATGGATCAGAAAAGACAATAACAAGACTTCCTGGAGTGACATGGAATATTTGGCATTATTTTAATGTAAATGTTATTCTGGTGTAGTAGATATAAAATCTGTATTTTTATGTGGAAGAACATAAATATTGATGTTCTTAAAGAACATATTCATGTAACCTAATTTATTGTATAATTTGCCTTACAACAGTGACATATCTATGTACAAATACATTTGTTATATACTGGAAAAACTGCACAGCCCACCTTAGCACTTTAATACTTATTGTATTTAAAGCCATGCATTTCACTGCACACATTGAATAAGCATGTGACAAATAAAACCTTTGAATCTCAAACATTTGAATAATGCATCTTACATTAGCTCCCCATGTCTGCATAAGTTCCCTCCAGGTGATCCCTCTTCCTCCCGCAGTGCAAAGACATGCAGGTTAACAGGTTAATTGGTGACTTTAAATGGTTGTTTATGTGTCAGTGTTAGCTGGGATTGGCTCCAGCTCCCCACAATGGATAAGGCAGTTATAGATAATGGATGGAAGGACAAGTTAAATTAGGAAAACATCAAGCCATTAGTTTTGTTTCCACAGAAATATCCATAAAGTCATTACCACTAATAATGTAGTAATGTGTGTATGGGTGTAATGTGGGACGCCCACTTCCTGAACAAATTAAAAAATCTAAATTTCCTTATTATGCTCCGTTCCAACATCTTGTCCTAGGAAATAATGTGGTAACACTAAATATTTTATCAGGACACAAAAGCAACAGTCAAACTATTTTAACACCACACAGAAATAATATGAGCTCATTTTCTAACAGAGCCTAATTTGTCTGCCGATCAGCTTTTACAAGAACTCTGTTTCACAGGAACAGGAGAAGCTGTGGAGAATCTAACAGCTGTCATACTGTGGCAGAGTGAAATAAAATGCAATGATTCTGCACCGATTCATTTGTGTGTGATTTCTACTGAATGTAAGGCTCATGTTAGCACTGAGTGATCTGTATCTTTGCAAAACTGCTTTATTCACAAGCCAATGCTAATTATTATTTGTAATGGATGGTCCTGTGTGGTATTGATAAAGTAGCATGACCTTTCTGACCCTTTATTCAATTACCTTAATGTAGAGCCAGGCGGTGTACAGACAGAGTCCTTATGTGATTGAAGACTAGATATTTCTTTGCTAAATTATTGGTAATTAAAGTTTTGGGATATGGCTGATATATACTTAGAGCACAGGATGGACTGTAGTGTGTGTGTGTGTGTGTGTGTGTGTGTGTGTGTAATTAAGGAACGTGTTGCCCAGTGCAATGTTGTAGCTCACTGATGTGCTCTGTCTGTCTGGACAACCTGTCAAGCTCACATTATACATTATATAGTTTACAATGATGGCAGATTTACCACTGGAAGCCAAAGAACCATATATAATTTTGTGTCCTACATTTCAGACAGAGGTTGACAAAAGAAGACTTATCATTTCCAGCTGTGACTGTTGATTTTGTTGATGATGCCTATTATTTGGATTTTTTAAAGTTAGCCCTTTGAGTCGGTTGAAAACACTGTCCACTTTTTAAAGTATTTCACTCCTTTTAAAATGATAACTCTATAAATATGCACTTGATGACTACATACAACCTATAAAAGAGACTGAAGCTGAGGCTAAAACTGCTCCAGGACAAAACTCATTCTCACCAGTTAGATGATAAAGACATGAATGGCCTCAAAAATAACGCTAACGCTGGGTTACTGGTGCCATGCCATTGTTCTGGCGGCCCATTATTCCAAAACCCCAATAGTCCAAAAATGGGCCGAAAGCCCATTTGTCCCAAGCATGACAGGTCTGCTGTGCCTACTCACCGCTGCTCAACTATGATACGGAGTTAGGAAAAATATAGAATTATTTAAGTGACTTTTCTGAACTTATTACATATTAGATTAATGCTTTTTTGTTGTTTGGCCGTAGCTTACCCACAATACAAGGCATAGCTCAATAAAATCATTATATTCAATTTTGTCAAAATTATTAAGCATTTCACTAGATTGTACACAAAAATGTGTTTTAAATGTGATGATAAAATCAAACTGTCTAGTTATATTGAAAAAGCCATAAAAAAGATCTTCACACTGCCGAGTTAACAACCGAGCAATGGATGGTTAACACTTCAACACAATCTCCAGAGTCAAATAAAGCGTCACATAAATATCTGAATTGCATGTAATCTGAAAGTGCTGTCTTTTAAGGTAAACCCTTATCTACGGTAAGACTTTGTTAATGCTCTGTCTCAGAGTCCACCTTAAATTGTCAAGCGAGGTCCACATTTGGATTTGTCCCAAGAGCAGCAAATTACACATCACTCCTGGATACAAAACATCTGGACAACAAAATACTTGGAGGAGTTTAAACCGGGGCAGCAGTTAGGAATCTCAGCAGACGGACGGATTTCTTCAACATGAATCCTGCTCTGGTGGTGTTAGTGTCGTCTATGCTGGCCACAGTGGCAGCTCAGTCTCATGACCATCATGACATGGCCTGGGTCAACAGCTACCGGCAGGGCTTCAACTTCCAGTGTCCCCACGGAGAGGTTCTCGTGGCCATCAGGAGCTACTTCAGCGAGCAGGATGGCTCAGACCGCTTGTGGACATTTGAGTGCCAGCCCACACCTGAGGGTCTGGGTGAGCCCACTGACTGCTGGTGGGACGACATCAACCGTGCTGGGTTGGAGTGGTGGGTCCTCTGTTGTATACCAGTGATTTATTTACTTTCTGACCACCTGCTGTCTGCTTTCTTTCACTGTCCAGCTGTGAGTTGAGGCATACTGGAAAAAACATCTGTTCAGGGTTTACAGAAAAATCATTAAGTGTGCTGTTGACTTTGAGTATTTAGAATATATTAAACATTAAAAAACCACTTTAGCTGGTTTAGTATAAATGAAAGTTTTATTTAGTTTTCTTGGTATGTGAAGTCTGTGGCACAGATATGAACAGAATTCCCTCTGATTAACTGTTTTTCTCTAGTATATAATCTTACTGCAAACAACAATACACTAATTGCCTCAGTCAACAGGCATGTGATCAGCAGTGATATGAATGAGGATTGCAATTGGTAGGCGAATAGTTGCAGCACATGCTGCTGGTTCCAGACGGGGACGTTTGTTGCATTTCATACCACAATCTAAAAGGGTATTTCTCTCTTTAGTTTTCTCTTTTACTCTGCAGAGCAGCTGTTAACATTGGATTTATTATTTTTGTTCATTTGGTCATCTAGGCCCAGATAAGCATTTCAGAATGACATTTATTACCACATTTATTGTGAAAGCCACGTAATAGGCACAGCTTTGGTCCATTTGTTGCTGATTGTTCCAATCAACAGGAGGAAGTACAGATCAAAGTTAAAAATGCTTTAATTACTAACTTATGCCTTTTCACTGTAGGACATACTTTGACCAACAACACAGGCTGTTAAAGGTCACTATTAGCAGACAACAAAGGCCCATACGAGGCCTGTGTGGAGTTTTCTGCTGAAACTGTTGTGTGAACAAAACCACCGGTGTTGTTGGTGGGTGGGTGACATACGCACAAATGGCAGACCTCCAAAAGACCTCCGTAAAGAAAGATACAGCTGCAACCAGAGGATGTCTTTGGTCACTGATAGATCCGGTTACACCAGCTCTTCACAAGGTCAAGCTCAGCTAACACTCACTTAAAACAGGTTGCACCACACAAACGATTCTTATCTAGAGATTAGTTTTTACAAACAAATTAGCAACTGCTGCGTAACTGCTAGCTTATGCGACAAAACTAAAACATTGGCTAGCTAACATATGGCCCATTTAGAGTGAGGAAAGATAATATGGAAGATGGTCCACACGGTGCAGTTTAATAATGGTTTGAACTGGGAAGATTGAAATTTCATATCACAAAAGAAAACATGCTCATATTAAAAAAAAGTTAGCTAAGTTAGCATAATTGGATATTTCCCACCCATTTGAATCTGCATTAATACTACTAACACATTTCTCCACGTATGCATGAATAAAAAAATACACATTTACAAAAATGTGTGGTTGTTAGCTTGTGATGCTACAACGACTTCCTGTTTTACATAATTGATTTCCAGCCCCCAGGAAGTGTGCGGCTGTAAAATGATCACAACTGTCGCCAAATGTCTGAATTGTATCCATTTTGTCCTGTAACATTTGGAAAGCTGTGCAATTAAATAATTTTATCTTTTTAAACTAGTGGAGGGCTAAACCAGAAGTTAGCCGGGATGGCCAGTGGAAATCTCTGGTTCCATATGATGTAGTAATTTTATACCAGGAAGTCGAACTATTTTGGCTTCGTGGCCCATTGAGCAGCATTCATAGGAATGAATGTAGCCCCGCCCCTAACTCTGTATCCAGTTCTCCTTAAAACATCCATGATAGTTTTTGATTGAAGGTGCAACAGATGGTTCCTAGCATCCTATTACTAGCTAAGACATTTTTTAAGCTTTAAGTGCAAGCAGATGTATTGAACTAGTCTGAAACAAATTAGATGTTACTAAGACCTGTAACACAAACACACAAAACTTAACCTAGTCGCCCTACAAATCACTGGTACAGTCCAATCTTTGCAGCCTGCAAAGCCTACTTATTTGTCTCTGCTACCACACAATATTTTAACTCAGACTTTATATTCATTATATTGTGTCCACTGTTTTCTCATTCAGAGGAACACAGCCAGGTTCTCCAGGGCCTGTATGAATCATGGTCTCACTCCAGAAGCTCCATGTTTCTCCGGCAGACAGTTTCTGGAAATATGACTGCCCCTAGTGTATTTTAACAAGAATCATCCCAATGACCCTTCAGAGAAATCAGACTGTATTTTATAGGCCACAGGTTACAGCAAGTTCCTAAACTTTTGCAACATGCCATTCACAAAAACCAGATAGTAGAAAAAGACTATGCAGCAATAACACACAACAGATTGAGGCAGTAGGCACTGCTTATGACTGGTTTCCTTTATGTGGAGTCAGGTGATCTTTTAATTTATCACACAAACGGCACAACTTCATGTAAACATGTTCGAATAACCATCAACTGCAAAGGTTGATATAATTAAAGGATTTGGATCAACCTTTTTGGAGGGAAAACTGTATGCTGACATCTCTGTGTAAACAGCAGCCTTAACAAACCAAACACATTGCTGGCTAAACTATATCTGCTTCAGATTGCTTTTTCTAGGTTGGAGAGCAGAACACATTTGTGCTCTCCACATTTCTTTTCAGTTAAGCTTGACTGCGCCCAGCCCACTGATTAAAAGGCAAACACTGTTAACGCTCTATCACTGCCACGCCTGCCTCCTTTTAACATAGCTGTCTGTTTAAATTACACCGACTGGGACATTACCCTGCAGGGAAACAACCCCATTGGCTCAATGGCTGATGGCTGTGCCTATGTTGCCATGACAAACTTCTACACATTGTGCAGCTCCTGCTGCTTGGACCTGGTATTCTTGGATGTGCTGTGGTGACAGCAAAGTGTATGGACCTTCAAAAAAACAGTATTTACTCCAAACAATATAGTATAAACTTAAGAAACTTTATGTTTGAAAGCAAAGAAAAGAATGACTTGGAAGTAACAGGAGGGTATGTGGTGTCATTTTAGATCTCTTTCAGTGTCATAAATTAAAACTGTTTTTATAACTTAATGAGTCTCTTGTGTCTTTGCAGGACTTCAACGTGCACTCGCAATGGCCTGGTAGCGGGTGTACAAAGCAAGTACTTTGAATCTGTTCTTGACCGGGAATGGCAGTTCTACTGCTGCTATTACAAACGCCGCTGTCCCTACTCCTGCATGTACGTTCTCACCGGGATATAAGAAGTTTACATTTTGGGAAATATCCTTGGCTTATTCCCTTTCGTAGCTTAGCAGACTGCAGCAGACTGGAAGCAGCGGAAAACCGCTAGCTCGGCCTACCAGCACCTCTAAAGCTCATATTGCTCATTTGGTTTTGTGCATACAGAAATCGAAGAAATGACAACCTCCTGGTTTAACAGCGATTATATGGGGGACTATTTCTTACCTGAAAGGTTGCTAGCAGAGAAAGTTCCACACATAACCACCATAAAACTTACATGTAGTATATAGTTTTACATAGTTTTTGTATGGATTAAACAAACCAGATATAAGAAGGTAATTAGTGAGATTTAGTGGTGCTGGTAGGGAGATTTTTTTCACATTTGAACAGAGCCAGAAAAGCTGTTTGCCCCTGTGCTCAGTTTTTGAGTTACGCTAAGCTAACGTCTTCTGGCTCTAGCTTCATATTTAGTGTACAGACACAAGAGTGGAATCCTCGCAAGAAAATTTATTTTCCCAAAATATAGAACTATAATTTTAAAAGTTTACACATAAATTCTCCAAAATATTACACAAACATGACTTTTGTTGCTTTCCACAGGAAGACCACCGACGTTCCTGAATACTACAGAGAAGAAGGAGAGCTGGTGGTCCCTAGTTATGGCTACTTCATCCGAGGTGCCCAGACCACCTTCAGCGGAGTGCTAAGGTTTGCTCACAACATCTGTTTTTTTTCTAACAACTTCTGATCTCATGAAGCAGCAGTTTGGCCCCATAACCATCCAAAAATTGTTGAAATCCTCTCATGGCTGAGTTGGAAGAAAACATCCTCATAATAATGTCCATGGGACCAGAATTTATTGTCAAAAAAAACACAAAACAGAAGAAACAATAAAGTTTGGTAATTTATGATTGTTGAACTGACGGGATTTTGTCTTGTACTTTGTTTCAGAGATCGGCAGTGGAAGTACATCCTGTGCAGAATGACAGACTTTGACTGTGAATTTGAAAATCTGTAGATCCATATCCATAAACACTTTTAACTACAAATACATATTTACTCCAAAAACATAATACTGACATTATACAAAAGTAGAATGACTCATATTTTTGTTGACGTATTTAGATGAATGGCTCTACCACAGGCATGTCATATATGCCTGTATAATCAATGTTTTTTAGTTTAGCATGAAAAATGCCTGCTCATATAAAGGGAACTGTTAAATAAACATCAACACAGAGGGTCTACGGGGGATTTGGGGATTTTTTGAGGGTTGTGTTACGAAGCAAGATTAATGTGTTGGCGAGGTATGTTGATCCTAAAGCCAGAGTTTTGAATGGCACGAAGGTGGCTCTGTTTTAACTCGACTAGATCGCCATGGTTACTTATGCTGCACACCTAACCAGCTCTGGAGGAGGTTGAGATCTAAATCAGATTCTCAGCTGAGGGGATTCGTTATATGGAAACCTATTGAGCTGTATGTTAGTATTAGCACAGAATGAAGCCGTGTTAACTGTATGCTTCACGTTGGTCCTGATTTGCTGCCAAGTTTATTTTACACTGCTGGTAATAGAACACCAGTTTGAAAATGTATTACTCTATTGGAATTTATCATAGATAATATTACATAAATGAAATGAATTTCACTCTGATTCAGCCAAAAAGTAATGTGATTTCCACATCCGTCGTATATTATGGGACAGACCTACGACCAATTCTTGAGCATAATGCTTAAATATGCTGTATCAAGTTTAAAGGTTAAGAGCTCTACCATGTGCAGTTGTCACTGAGACATTGAGAGTGCATTGAGTCAATCAGCAATTTCCTGCCAGCCTCTCTTGCCTTGTTTGCAGCAACTGTTGCTTTTTGTTGTAATAATTATTTTATATTCGTCATAGCTCTCCATTATAACGACATGTTCCTCATGACAGAAGTAGGCGGCACACAATTGGTCAATTTTATGCGGAAGAAGAGTCGAATTAAGTGTCAGACATCCTCTTTTATAGGAATGTGCACAGAAAGTGATGAACAAAACCTGGGTTAGCAAAGATGAATGGAGATTTTAGGTTTTGCTGAGCCAGCTAACGCAAAGAAAAGCTTGGCTAGTCAAAATTGCTTCGTAGTACACCCCTCAGACACATCAGACGGCTTAAGTGTTTTATTTGCAAGAGGAACTGGTCCTTTGGTAGGACGTGAAAGTGTTTTTTTCAAAACAAACTCGATTATTTGATGGTGTGGTCATGGTGGTGGAAACACTGTGTCAGGTTCTGCTCTGAGATCTCTTAGTCGGGGTCACATGACCATGGTGGCCAAATAAAAATAAAACCATTTTTATAAAAACATTCAGTGAGCTGCAGGGCGTGGCTGATCGGGATATTGTCTTGGAAGTAATGCCTGGAACAATCGTGTATGTGTTAGAAGTAATGGAAAGCTCTTTCAGAATCACTGGCAACACGAGCTTCACATGCAATGAAGAGTCCCACCTGTTTTCAATTGACTTCATATCCCTCCTTTATGAAAGGTTCTCGTTCAGTTTGGCAATTACAGCAATACAGTGCGCTGTACTGGAACTGATGTAACTATACCATGTGAAAATGGGATTAAAACCATCCATCTTCTAATTACTTTGTACAGTCATTTATTATATAAAAATGTATGATGTGTTCATTCCTTTGGTTTTGCATGTTGAAAAAAAGATAAAATAAGTATAGGTATATGATATTTAAAATTAAATGTAAGAACATTAATTGAAATCTTATGAACAGCAAAGTAACTGAATACAATAGGCTAAACTTGTAGAGGGAGAGGGTTGTGGGAGAAAGGATGTGAGTATAAGCCTTCCAAATGCACAGAGAGGATGAACTCAGCCCTTACGATATCAACAGCTCCTTTGGGCTTAACTTGCCTGAGGGTAAACTCAGCACTGCTTTATATTGCCATAACATGCTGCTGGAAGGGCCCGACATCAGGGATTACCATATCAGCAGCTAATCAGTTCATGAGATAGTTTGTTGAATATAAAAAGTGCAGGAAAAACTATAAACAAATGTATCTCATGCAATGTGAAGGCCCAGTGTGTAGGATTGAATGGCATCTAACAGTGTAGCTGCAGATTACATTAAAAAGATTAAAACATAAAAGGCCCTGTCTAGAGCCAGTGTTTGGTTTATCCGTTCTGGGCCCACTCCCTCTGTAGATATAGAAGGCTCATTCTAAGGTAACAAAAACACAACCGTTCTTTTATTCAGGTGATTATACACTAATGGAAACATAAGTATATTATATAAGAATATAAGAATTATTGTGTTTTGTTACCTTTGAATGTTTTTATGTACAGATGCTACAGGTTGCCTTCCATGGAGGCCGCCATGTTTCTACAGTAGACCAGAACGGACAAACCAAACACTGGCTCTAGATAGGGCTGTTCCCGTTTTTAGCACGTCTTGCAGCCACCATAGTTTTTTCCTTGTGTTGGAAAGGGAGGCTAAAACGAGTGAGTTGCAATCAGCAACCACACTGCTAGATGCCACTAAATCCTACACACAAGTAACCTATAGTTAACTACGTTCATCAAGTGAACTACCAATGTATGAAAGGCATCTTTACATTGAGGAATAAAACTCAAGTTCTGCTTTTTCTCGATCTTTCAACCATTTTACATAGTATAAGCTTTCACTTCAGATATAGACAAGAAGTCTATGGAACTCATAACAGCCACAGATCCTTCTTCATGACAACTAACCAAACTCCGTTTACTGATGAAGGTCATGTAATGAGGTTCAAGGTTCCAGAAAAGGCTAGTAACTGGACCCTGAGTTGGGATTGCTTTGTCAAACATATTTACTGTTTTCTTGCTAATCATTTATCCTGTAGTTGGGGGCTTGTGTAGCAAAAGGTTCTCCAACTTTCCCACTTCATCAAACAACTCATTGTTCCTGTGAACTTTCCAAGTATGAATGTGTTTTTTTCCCAATATAATAACATGTGAATTGAAGGTGGGCAGTGACAGAGCAAATATGGAAAAATAAAGTGTCCTCATTACACTTGTTTTGGACGGGACAAACAGCATTTCTTTACTAGCTCGACTCTCCCAAGTGCTGTTAAAATCTATTCGAACTCAATGGAGTGAGCTGGGTGAAGGTCAGCCGGCTCACTGCACCGTCTTGAAAAGAGCTGGGGACTGGGCCAGTAGCTTTCAGCACTGTTTGTTTATGGCAACTGCTGTCTCGGGGCACAGGGCCAAACACGGCAGCGCGACACAGCTGTCCCCTGAGCCTGTGGACGGTGGCGAGCCACACGCCGGCGGAGGCCTCCTGCCGTCAGAGAGCCACTGCCTCTGTGGTGGAAGCCTTCTTCCTGAGCCGGGACGGATGGAGGGATATATTGTCCTGCTCCATCCTCTTCGCCCTCCAACACGTTTCATTACAGCTGGATGAAAAACAATCCTTTCAAAACAATATTCACACTGGCTGTAATTAGAGTTTATAGGAGGAGCCACAAAGCTATTAAAGTCTCCTTACTGCAATCACTTTTGGAATCTGCAGTTAGCCACTATATAATTAAGAGCTAAGTATACATTTATGGTAACAAAGCCCCAGAGAAAAAAAGGGATTTAACTTGTGATGAAAACCTGCTACTGGTTAGAGTAGACTACATGAGCTATATGCCTGGATTATTAACATTTCTATAGACCCTAATACAAACTTGTTTTATGGAACAAACACTTGTGGTTGTGAACCTAAATTGAGTCACAGAGGCATGTGACGGATTATTACATGAAAAATAAAATTCGGTAGCATCATACAGACGAATACCATCTGACAAAAGTTCAAATATTGAATAATGATGAAAATGCACACAAATGACAACAATAATACAACATTTAATTTACATATTAAGGAATAAACAGTCCAAAAAAATTGTTTTTGGGATACAGACCAAAAACAGCCCGCTGTGTTGGTGGGAGGGTGTGGTTTAAGGTAATGGGGATAAAGAAAGTCCAGTTGGACTAACAGATGAATGTGTTTTAAGATTTTTTGTAACAGTTTGTAACAGACTGAACTCTACAACTTTGGAAAATTATCACAGCAGCAACTATCTTTCGCCATGACGGTCGGCAGGTAAACAGTAGTCAGTCTTCATGTTACAAAGTGATCTAGCAGGAACCTTTTAAACTTGACGACCCCACGCTGCTCCATTCAAATGAAGGAAAGAGCCTCTACAGTCATGCTAGCGGCCCTGTGAGCCTGTACTTAGAAACAGCAATGCTTTGAGCTAACATGCTCACAATGTAAGGTAATAGGTATGAGAATATTAATTTGTGAATATCAAAGTAACTGAATAGGCTAAACTTGTAGAGGGAGAGGGTTGTGGGAGAAAGGATAATCTAACTACAGTATGTGAGTATAAGCACAGAGATGCACAGAGAGGATGAACTCAGCCCTTACGATATCAACAGCTCCTTTGGACTTAACTTGGCTGAGGGTAAACTCAGCACTGCTTTATATTGCCATAACATGCTGCTGGAAGGGCCCGACTTCAGGGATTACCATATCAGCAGCTAATCAGTTCTGTGTTCATGAGATAGTTTGTTGAATATAAAAAGTGCAGGAAAAACTATAAACAAATGTATCTCATGCAATGTGAAGGTCCAGTGTGTAGGACTGAATGGCATCTAACAGTGTAGCTGCAGATTACAACACCCTCACCTCACCCCCATTCCAAGCATGTAAGAAACTACGAAACCTGCAAAAAAACATAAAAGACCCTGTCTAGAGCCAGTGTTTGGTTTGTCTGTTCTGGGCCCACTCCCTCTGTAGATATAGAAGGGTCATTCTAAGGTAACAAAAACACAACCGTTCTTAAATCTCAAAGTAGGCCTAATTATAAAAAAATATCAAAGAATTAGTCATTTTGAGAAATACGGTTATTCTCTGAGAAGAAAAGATTAATACTACTCTTATATCTATCTGTTTAGTATGCGGCTATGGCCAGCAGGTAGTTTAGCTTAGCATAAAGTCTCAAACAGGTGGAAATAACCTGGCTCTCTCCTAAAAAAAAAAACATACAGTTTTTCTAATAATGACGTATACCTTTGTTTACATTGTTATTTGCACAATACATTCCAAAACAACCAAGTGACGAGACAAAGAAAAGCACTTGTATCAATTAGAGCACTTATTAATCATAAACAAGAACAAATACCATAATGCCTCTTCAATCAAGCACCAATCATCTCTGAGTAAAAGAGAGAGCATGTGATGTTTTTGTATTCGCAGCCAATCCCCGAGTATGTCTTTCTCTCAGAAGCTGAAGCGAGCCGGTGCAGTTAATGCCTGTATTCATTAGCCATGATCCAGTGAGGCGTCTGTGCTGCCAGAGCAAAGAATGAGACAAATAACAGCTTCTGACAATAACAGGCTACTGCAGTCATGCTGAAAAATCCTTTCTAAAGTAGATTTTAGTGCTCCAGAGTGCAGAACTTATTCCGGAATGTTCTACTGATCCCAGATCAATACATGTGTTTCTGTACTAATACTTTATATTACTTCAGAGGTTTGGTAAAATGTACCAAAACAAGGCTAACTAGACTAGAACTGTGATTGTATACCCAGCATGTGTATAACTGCAGACAGTCTGAGAGGTAAAGCACAGGTGTAACTAAGAACATGAATTAAAGCTGAAACCAGAGCCACTGTTTGTGTCATCAGTTGCCCTGTGCTTTTCCTGTCGACTGACAGTCCGGTTTTAATGCCATTATTCTCCCCCACAATGGAATGCAGTGGAAATTACATTACACAGCAAAATCAAAAGTGTTAGATTTCCAGTGTTGGTGTTGTGTGTTAAAAATACAGTGTCAATTCAACACTTGTTTAGTCTAATTCAAATATGTTAGAGTTAGTTGATTTTAAAATCAACACTTAACAGTTGCTCCCAGAATTCCAACGTATCTGTGACGTGTTTGCCTAAAGAGCGGGGACAGCCGAGACTAACGTTACTTTATTTTCTTTGTGTAAGTAAATGAAACGCAGCATGTCTATTTAATAATACTTTCTATGTAGTAGTATTTTATATGTATCGATAATAAGTCAAATGGAGTCCTGTCTGCATCGTGACCATAGACTGTGATCGTGACAAAGTCCCATGTTAAGGTTAGCCTGATTGTTGTATGCTATGTTTTGATGGGTGCATTAATGTTCCTTTTGCACAAGAGTGTCGATGAATATACATAATATGCTTAACAGAAGTATACACGTTTGGCATGTTGCTGCTGGAGGAATACAGCTGGAGGCTTCCTGGCCACCACACCAGCCACACCAAGTCCTGCTTTAAATCCGGAGCTTTTTACGGACAGTAGTTTATTTTTTTAAACTTTTGGGATAAAAAAACGTTAGCTTCTTAAGCTTTAGCCGGAGCTAACACCGGAGTCACACACACCCTCAGCTGCTGCTATAATAATAAATGTCTGAAATGCCGGGGAGTTTATGTAATTTTAAAGTTACACAGTGTGTGTGTAGCTATCTATGCATATAAACAACGTTGCTGTCATATTTATGCCTTCAGGTTATTTTTGCCAAACTAAACTAAACACAGAGATGAGTTGCTCATGTATCTCTGTGTT